AATATCGAAGATAGTTAAAAAAAATATTGGATTATTGTATTATTTGTAGATGTAATCAATAACAATAAGATTTCGGCATCATAAGACTTTTAATAACTTTTGATTACTTTTGGTTTGAAAATTAAATCAAAGGCGCATGTTTACATTTATTAAAAAATCTATTATCAGAACATATTATCGCGAGAAATAATGTAACTGTTATATTTGGATAGAAATATTTTGTAATCTTTTTTCCAAAGTTAAATTGTATATATGTATATGTATGTGCGTTGTATATGTATTTTACATGGCTTAAAACGTAGTTTTATGTTTATATATTAATTTTTGAAATATGTATTAATTCGAATAATTCTATTTCTCATAATTCTATTTCCTGAAAAAACTATAATGTAAATATTTTACATTATAGTAATTATTAAAATTTTACATTATAGTAATTATTAAAATATACTTCAATGATATTTTTTATGGTATTATTTCGGTATGAAATAAATGAATATTTTTATTATTAAATATTTAACGTGGAATAATAAATAGCTTAAATAATAGTTCAAATAGATCAAATAATTGACACTTAAAAGTTTATAATGATATGTCTCTTTTTATTTTCAACAGCAACAATCTTACAATAAAATACACTTTTCACATCTTTTTTTTACTGAGTAATAAAATAATTCGTTTTTAACATGTGCATAAATATTCACAAACAAGTGATTTATAGTTAGATTTAAGTACACTTATAATTATTAACTTACGTTATTTATAATTGAGACTCTCTAATGAAGAAAGATTAATAGTTATAGAATTAAGAAATAGGAGGAACAACATTATTTTTTATGACTAGCCTTAAAATATCATATTCTTTTATTTAACATCTTTAAAATTGGTTTAGTATTAGAAAAGATGTCATTATTTACGATTATCAGTTTCTATTTACATATTCATCAAAGATAATGACATCTTTTCGTGTATTGTGAGATAAAATTAGGTAGATTATCTATCAAACATTATAATAGAACATCGTAAAGTTTTTTATTTTCTAACTCTCTGATCTAACTTCCGTCAGTGATTTCGACATTGGGAACATTAGCGTCACTTTTTTCCGAATGCCAGGAATTTATGTGTCTTTCTAAATCTCTTCTTCTGACTAAGATCTTGCCACATATATTGCACTTGTAACGACTGTCGTCTGTCGCATGCAATCTCACGTGTTTGTTGAGATTACTAGGATCTCCGAATCTGTGCTGACAAAAGTCGCATTTTAGAGGCTTGTAACCCGTATGCGTCCTGATGTGGATACGGAGGCCGTATTTTCTCGAGTAAATTTTATCGCAAAATATACATCTATATCCTGCACCGCATTTTCCCATGTCACTGGCGAGTGTCTCTACTTCCGCGGGATCTTTTTTCTTAGATTCTGTTCGTACACCGGGATGCACGCTATAGGGCATAAAATTACTTCTATGGATATTCCGATGCATCAAGGCCTCGTAGGATCTTAAAGTTAAATAGCGATTTCTTTCCGTTACATTTTCGATGGGTGATTCGTAGGACGATGAACTTGGTAAAATCTCAATCGATGGAGATTTTATCGCGGAATATGGGGGTATCGGTGAAGGACCATTTGAAGATGATGATAGTTGATTTGAAGAACAAGGTGAATCATTCCTCAATGACCGGGTAGTGTTGTCAATCGTTTGCGCCGAGTATGCTGGAATTGGTGATATTATTGGTTTAGACACAGGCAGAGGCTTGAGCTCGAATGCGAAGCTTCTTCCTGAATGTTGGCTGAAGGATAGATCCGTTCTCGGAGAATCAATGATCTTATTCGCTAAAAGTACCCAAATATAGCTATTGTCCATTCGGTTGCAATCTAATGCCAAGTGTAGTTTCAGAGGATTTGGATAATCGAAACAACTGTTGCAGTTATGACACATATAAACCTGACCTGCAATTATTCAAATATATATATATAGGGTAAGATATACACTGTGTGTATGTGTGCGCGCGCGCGCGCACGCGCGTGTGTGTGTGTGTTGTTAGTGTATATCTTTTTTAGATGTGTCATCTAAAAATTTACAAAATTTTAAAGCTACACAAATTGATTATTAAAAATAAAAAATAGACTAATTACAAATAAATATATTTAGGAGAAGCTATTATTAACAAATTAATTATTATTATAAATTTTATAGGATAAATTTGATTGCTATTTGATTGCTAAACTAGTAAAGGGTTACAATTAATAAGTTATTGATGATATTACGCAAAAAGCTTTGGTTAAAAATATCAAAGTCTTACCTTGAATATTGCAATTTACCGGTGTCAAAAATGGAATATTTAACATCGTCAAAATACAATCTGCAAACCACATTAATAATGGTTCTCCAGGTGCTATATCTCTTATTGTTTTCAATACCAGTCCATTATTGCTAATCATAAGTAAGACGTTGTAATTTTGAAAATCTGTTGCCAAAGTGATCATTTTTAACCAATAAGATGGATTTATAGATCCATTGAGGCAATGAAGACGACCGTCAACATCAATAATTTCAATGACATTCTAGAACATTAATATTAATTTATATATTATATAATATATAATAATATAATAATAATAATAT